TTTTTTTTTTTTTTTTTAATTATTTTTTGTTTAAACACCCCGGAGTATTTAACGACTATATAGGCAAATTTTTAAATGATAATATCTAAGGTATAAAATGAATAATTTCTAATATTTTACATTAATATAATATCTCATTTTTTTAAATATGAATTTAAAAATAATTTAACAATTTCAAAGAGTACTTGCTCTATATTAAACAAATATTGTAACATTAAATTAATTTTTGTATATAAAAAAAATATTTCTTCATTATAGTCATACTTCAAACATTCATCAAATTTCTATTTAATTTTTATGTGATATAATAAAAATGTATTCAATTAATATTAATAAATATTTGTAAAGAAATTCTATAGAATGATAAATCTCTTTAGTGGTTTAGTATTGAAAAAAAAAAAAGATTCATTAGAGATAGTAATAATTTTCGTTAAATACTCCATAGGTGGTCTTTCGTTCGATCCTTAGTTGTTTTGATTAAGTTTGGTCAGCATTGTCGTTAGGCATTTGCGTAGGACGCAATAATAGTTGAGCGAGACATGAGAAAGATCGCGAGGAGATTGGGACTGGGCTGTAATGGATAGGTCAAACATCAGTGGATGGGGAGAGCTTGAGCCCCGAAGGGGGTCCGGACACCCCGCCAAACACACCTGTTACTCCATCACACAAGACTACAAGGGAGCACCACAGGCAGTGGAGGGAGTTGGACGAGTCAGAACCAGAAGCAGCAGCCCGTTTAGGTCAGCATTATCACCATCGTCATCATCACCATGACCATCGTTATAGCCACTATCATCAGAACCATCTATCCAACTCTGAAAAGAAGTCATTACATAATACTCAAGGTGTCAGCGATATTCGAACGTCGAATGATCCTTCGTCAGTGTATTCATGTTATCGTGCACGTTGGTGCACTGCTTCAACTCCTTCAACACCTACTCCAAGTCCTGGCTCAGTAAGCCCAACTCCTTCCTTTTCATCAACCTGCAGCAGCGAAGAAGATAAATGGCAGTCAACAACGCATCCTAGGAGTACCGAAAAACCAGACCAAACTGCCTCTAATCGTGCATCAATTGACGATAATGACGATGACAACAACCATGATGTGGGCCAAAGCGATGACCAAGATCAAGACCATAGTGGCAGTTTGCCTAATCCAGGTACCCATCCTACCACCATCACATCAACCTATCATACCTTTTCCTTAAATAATGCCAAGGTATAACTGACCTATGGTCGTGTTTGTTTCAAGGATTTTTGCTCCTTTAGCGATAATATTTATATATATATATATATACATACATTTATATATGTATCGAATATATATATATGTATATATATATATATATCTTTTGTTCGAAGTGCTTTTACATATTGGGAGAAAAAGAGAGAGAGGTTGTCACTTTCGTGGTCTTATTATTATTATTATTATTATTATTATTATTATTATTATTATTATTATTATTATATATATTTTTTTTAAACATTATTTTTTATTATTATTATTATTATTATTATTTAATTCACAATAAAAATAATATCTATCGCATGCCATTTTATAGGTATCCAACTAATATATATATATATATATATTAATATTTCATTTAAAATGCGTAATCACATAGAAAAATACAATGACTGTATTATATCATGATCCTAGTGCGCATTTCCTTAAATGTCAATAACGCACAATTGCACATACATATGCAATGTATGTAATGCTGAATTCTTTTTTGCAGTATCTCGTTGCCTCCCGTGTAACAAATTCTTTAAAATCTATCTTCTTATTTAAATGTGAGTGTGCTGTTTTCAATGACAAAGTATTGCTTGTTACTCTTTGTTTTCCTTTCTGTCACTGTAATATACGAATTTTGTTGTAACGTTTTTTTCATCACCATTATTATTTTGATAATAGATTAACAAATCGGAAGGACACAAAATCATATATAATAATATTTGTAAATTTACAATAACAACAACAACAACAACAAAGAAAAGGGAAAAATAATATAAATCATATATTACGTCATATCATCAATAAAAAACAAAAAAAAAGGCCATGACAATCTCTCTCCAGTACTTACACCATTGAATTATAATGCTAATTATGAAATTATGCAAAAAGCTATTGAAAAAAATAAATATATTTTCACCTTAATTTTTATTATAATTTCAATAGTATTTTCAAATTTAGAGTTGAGTATTATACATTGATTGAAAAAAAAAAAAAAAGAAAAAAAAAGAGAAAATTTTTAAGTTATTGAATATATGAAAGAAAAAAAAAAAGAAAGAAAGAAAACAAACAAAAGTAAAAGAAAGAAATATAAAAAGTCTGAAGGAATGCAAAGAGATTTGCCTAAATTTGAGCACATTTTTGAAATATAAAATATGCGTGCACCTAATAATTCGATCAAATTTATTGATATTGATGGTAATAAATACATCAATAATATCTTTTGATCTTGGTTAGTCCTTCTTACTCCTGCGTCCTGTGTACTGGTTGTGTCTGAATACTTCATTTTTAACAAAATGTAATATGTTCGATTGATTGTTCCAGATGCCACAGATTTATATTTGAATTAGAACTTGTTCTGATAATTGCATTATGCACATACTTTCATTACTTCTACTACTATTTTTTTCTTTTTTTAATTTTATTTTACTTTGCCTTTTTTTTTTTATTTCTTTATAAGAAAATCTATTTATTATTATTTATTATCATCATCATCATCATAATACTATATAAACATATATTTATTATTTGTTCTTGTTTTCATTTTATTTATTGTGTTTCTTTTTTTTTTCTCTCTCTCTAATTCAATGATTTTTTTTCATTTTAATTATAATAAAAACAAAAATATTTATGCAATTCGATCATACATGAAATTTTTTGTTTTGATTTTTTTTGTTTTGTTTTGTTTAACAGTAAATTAAGAAGCATTGACAAATTTTTTTTTCTATTATTTATTTTGGTTGCGATAAATTTCATTATATTTTCATATTAACAAATTCATTATTTGCTCATATTTAAAAAAAAAAAAAAAGAAAATAGTCTTATTATTTCAATTTTGCATTTTTAATAATAATAATAATATACATTCATATAAAAAAATAAAGTTTTAATTAATAAAATCTGCATTGCTGCATTCGATACAATTGATATGATATATTCAATATTTGTACGTTTTTTTTCTTTTTTTTTTTTTAAATTGAATATGTTGCTTTACTGTACAATACAGCATTATAAATAAGAATACATACAAGAATTTTTAAACAGTATATACAAATATATACATATATAATTATATATAATATAATTATATTATATATAAGTATATACAAATATATATATAGCACCAACATAAATAATGAAATTGAAAATATGTTTATCGATCGGTACATGAATTTACAAGAAATTGCTGTGTTGCATGCTTACAACTTGATTACACTTTATTTACACAGTATATTATAATATAAATAATCTAGAGTTCTTTTTATCTTTCTTTGAATGATAATTTATTTAGCTACAGAATAATAAATAAATAAATAAATAATAATAATAATAATAATAAGATCTCTTACAACAAATGTCTTCATAACTCGGTTGGCATGAAATGCTTTTACATCATCTCAGCTGCTTGGCTTATTTTATTATCGCACTTTATTATTATTAATTACAAATCATTGCAACTTGTCACGAGCATAGGTATCAAATTATTTTCGTTAATCATTGTATGTGTGTGTGTGCGTGGTCGGGAAGGGGATAGGAAATTAATTATTAAACAAAATATCTCACAACAATTATTGCAATGCATACAACAAACGTACAGATAACATTGATAAAATAGAAATAAAAGTTTAATTAATATTAATAAATCTATTTGTTATATCTCGTGCAATTTTCAAAATAATTACGTACAATTGATATCTACAAAAATATGTAATAGAAATGTTCATATTTATTATTCAATTAATTTCTCAATTATCACACATTAATATTGCATGTAAATATAGTAGACATTTTAAATAGAAAGAAAATTAAATACAAACAATTCAATGTAATACAATTGACAAAATCTTCATGATGAAACATAAACACAATTATATCTCAACACACTTCTTTATATTATTTATATTATATTTCATTCCATATCATGTTAGGTATATACAAATTGAATGCATTATTATATATTATTTCTGATGATTGAATAAAATCATATATATACATATGTGTGTATACATATATATATAAGATTATATTATATATACATATTTATATTTATATATAAAATGCTTTAATGAAATTGTATGTGCACCTACACATTAATGTTTTGCACGATATATTCAGTTTAGGTACTGCCTGCTATTCTGAATAATACATAAGGAGCGTACTAGAATCAGTGAAATGTTTTTTTCTTTTTTTTTTGATACGATACCAAAACAAAATCTTTCTCTGTTTATCTCATTTATAATATTATTGTTATTTTTTTTAGTCATACAATTAATCTGACATATTTTATTTGAATATATTTCAACACCTTTCAACAGAGCTTATTATAAATCTTTTTTTTTTTT